CTGCTGTGCATGGGGTTGCTATGAGTCGGTTCTGACTCGATGGCACCTGACGACAACAACAACATTGTCTAACACTGACTGAGGTGTACTAAATCCATTTCTACATTATCGCTTCTTGGTAATGTGAAGATCGAAAGAAAGGTACAGTGTAATGCAATGGATAGACTATGGTCGTTTGAATTAGAGAGAATTGGGTTTGAGTCTTGAGGATCATGTAGGAATTCTGTGATCTTGGAAATTTCTCAGGTGCTTGTTGTCCTCATCTCTAAAGCGTTATAGGGTGTTGTGAAGACTGAGTAGATAATGGATATAGCTGCTTAGCACCTGGCCTGGTATGCAGTGGTGTCACTAAGCAGGAGTCATCTTTGTAACAGTCATACCATGTGCAAGCACATAGTCCAAAAACCAAACCTACTGGCATCAGGTGGATTCTAACTCATTGTTGTTGATGTTAGGCGCCATGGAATTAGCTCCAACTCATAGCGACTCTGTGTACAACAGAAGGAAACTGTGAAGTCCTGTGCTAACCACACAATTGTTGTTACATTTTAGCTCATTGTTGCTGCCGCTGTGGCAATTCATCCTGTTAGGGGTCTCCTTCCTTTTGCTGACCCTCCACTTTACCTAACATGATGTCCTTCTACAGGGATTGGTCCCTCCTGATAATATGTCCTACGTATGAGTGATCAAGTCTCTCCATTTTGGCTTCTAAAAACTTTATGAACATACTTCTTCCAATACAGATTGGTTTGTTCTTTTGTAAGCCCATGGTACTTTTATTATTCTCTTTCAACACAAGAATTCAAATGAACCAAGTTCTCTACAATCGTCTTTATTCATTGTCCAACCTGCGCATGCATAGGATGTTCCCGAAAATACCATGGCTTGAGTAAGGTTCACCTTTGTTCTCAAACTGGCATCCTTACTCTCCGGCACTTTAAAGAGGTCTTGCACAGTAGATTTACCTAATGTATTACATAATTTAATTACTTGATTGTGGCTTCTATGGGTGTTAATGATTGATCCAAACAAAAGGAAGTCTTTGACAACTTCAACCTTTTCTCCTTTTTTTGTTATTTATTGGTCCAGTGGTGAGGATTTTCCTTTTCTTTACCTTGAGATACAACCCTCACTAAAGGTATGGTCTTTGATCTTCATCCATATTTTAAGTTCTCTTCACTTTCAGCAAGAAGGTTGTATCATTTGTAAGTCACAGGGTGTTACTGAGTCATAGAGACCCTAGAAAGGGTTTCTAAGGCTGCAAAGCTTTACAGAAGAAAGCCTCATCTTTCTCCCATGGAGTGACAGGTAGATTTGAACTACCATAATAGTGGTAAGCAGTTCAGTACTTATCGTCCAGCACCAACAGAGCTCCTTCACACATAGTTGTTGTTGTTGTTAAGTGTTATTGAGTCAGTTCTGACTCACAGTACCCCTGTATTGGGTTCCTGAGGAAGCACTGGTAGGATTGAACCACTGACATTGTGGTTCAAACTGACCTTGCAATCCAGTGCATATCCCATAGAACACTCTTAGTTTTCTAATGTTCACTGACAAATAGCAGAAAGGGAACTGCGGGAGTCTTTCCCCAGCCCCACAGGAGGAGGGTAGGGATGATTGATGAAGCAGCAGAGGGACATTGGGTTGGATGATCTTCAAAATCTTTTCTGATCACAGATTTTAGAAGTCTTTACCATGTTACTCATCAGTGAGTTTCCTTGCACTGTTTTTCTCATGGAGTTCTTTCTGGATAAGATGCGTACTCGCCAAGTCTCTTTTCAGAGAAAGAGACACAGAAGTCCCATCAACTCTGAGAGATAGAGTTCAGATGTCACTCCCTAACACAACTCCCTGTGCTGCCATAGTAAAGGGTTGGTCACTTTGAAGCCAAACAATGAAGCTCTTAGTTAACCAAAAATAATGACTAGTGAGTAGTCCTGACTTTGCAAGAAGCCCGAGTAAAGCATTTTATGAGGTAAAGGACTCTTGTGAGGTGTCTAAACTACAGATGAAAAATCCCCCAAAATGGTAACACGGGTAATACTGTATGTGCTTGCCACACCCACTTCTGACAGAATATAAAATCCTAGAGAGGATCAGGGTTTACACCAGAGTAAAGGACATAGGCTGTGAAACTGACCTTCAGAGCTCCATTCCCTCCCAGCACCAGTCATACACCTGCTTCCTGCCCAACATGAGCTGCCGCACGAGCTGTTCTGCCCGGCCCTGTTTGCCCCCCAGCTGCCATGGATGCACCCTGCCTGGGGCCCGCAACATCTCTTCCTCTGGGGGCATGGGTGGTTCGCTGTGTGAGGGCTCCTTCAATGGCAATGAGAAGGAGACCATGCAGTTGCTGAATGACCGCCTGGCCAGCTACCTGGAGAAGGTGCGCCAGCTTGAGCAGGAGAATGCAGAGCTGGAGGGCCACATCCGTGAGTTTTCCCAGAAGCAGATGCCCTATGCATCCCCAAACTACCAGTCCTACTTCCAGACCATCGAGCAGCTCCAGAAGAAGGTGAGGATGTGGGCACCACATTGTCAACTTAATGCACTTGGTTTCATTCATTCATTTTTGACAAACCAATTTCTGAATGGGATCTAAGTCACCTCACAGGTAACTTGAGGATGTAATGATACAGAATGCATTGACTTTGACAGGATACTTTAAATAGCCTTAGAAACTCTATTTTGCAGTTATTACAAGGGAAGGCTACAGACTGGATCGCAGGAAAAATTGAACCCAAATCAGTTGTACAAACTTTACTTGCTTCCAAAGGGCTTCTTTCTTAAAATCAGAATATCGGATTTTTTCATTCTGTCTGCTTGTCTGCTCTTCTTGTCTGCTGAGTATTATAGGGAAAAAAAAAGTGCAGCTGAATTTTTTGTCTGATTAGGAGTTTCTTGACTAAATACATAAATTCCTAAAGGCTTTAAAAATTGTAGCAAAAGACAGTATCTATGGAAAACAAATGGGCTTTGATTCCAGAAGTCTCATGGATATAAACAGACACAAATACCACCCACTAAAGCAGAGTTGGAGATAGTGAGAAAACAAGTCATAAGTGTAGTCGTAGAAAGGGTGCAAGTAAAGAGTAAGCATAGAGGTAGGACCTAATACCTGGAGAAGATTAAGGAAGGGTTTCCAGTGGCGGTAACATCTGTGCAGGGTTGTGAAGGATGAGCATGAGTTCATAATCAGCAGCACAAATCCTTAATTTTCAGAGGGCACTGACTCTCCATTGCTCTGTAGTTCCATCCAAGTGAATGACAGAAAGTGGTCATGTGATCTGAATAGCACTTATGCATTTAGTGAGTGTTAGTAAGGAGCTCTGGTAGCATAGTGGTTACAAATCGGGCTGCGAACTTTAAGGTCAGTGGTTCAAAACTACCAGCCACTCCGCGGGAGAAAGATGAGGCTTTCTACTCCTGTAAAGATTTACACCCTCAGAAACCCTGTACAGTGTCACTATGGATCAGAACCGACTCGACGGTACTTAACAACAGGTGCAGTAGTGGGGTGTGGAAAAAATACTGAGTAAATTGTCTCTTTCTTTAAGGAGTTCACAGCTTAATAGAGGAAACATGTGTAGAACAAATGACCACGGCGAATGTGGCTCTGTGCAAAGTCCTGTGGAAGGTCATGGAAGAAGGGACTGCATGCAGGAGTTAGGAATGGATGATATACAAGGAGCCTTATTAGGTGGGGAAGGGCAGTCCAGTACAGTGCAGGAAGAGGGACAAGCTGGGTGCAAAGTGTGAACAATGGCAAGGTACGGGGAGAGTGGAGCAAGGCCACAGACTGGAAGGAAGGTGGTATTAAGGATCGAATATCCAACTGCCTTTGTTGCCTGGAACTTTACTGGTTTTAGCATCTGGGGGACATTGTTGTTGTTGTTGTTGTTATGTGTTGCTGTCCAGTAGGCTCTGGCATGACAACCCTATGCATAAAAGAATGAAACACTGGCTGTATCCTGCGCCATGCTCACAAGAGTTGTTATCTTCAATTACAACATTTGTGCCACTGTGCTAATCCATCACATTGAGGGTCTTCCTGTTTTGCGCTGGTCCTCCACTTTACCAAGGATGATAAATATGTCCTTCCTGATGATATGTGTGAAGTATGAGAGAAGACGTCTTGCCATCCTGGCTTCTAAGGAACATTATGGACATACTTCTTCCAACACAGATTTGATTGTCTTTGTGGTAGTCCAGGGAACTTTTAATATTATTCACTGACACATACTTCAAATGCATTCATTCTTCTGCAAGTGTTCCTTATTCATTGTCTAAGTTTCACACACATATGAGGTTATTGAAAATACCATGGCTTGGGTCAGTTGCACCTTAGTCCTCAATTTGACATCTTTGCACTTGGACACTTCGAAGAGGTCTTGTGCAGTAGATTTGTTTAATGTGATGTTGTTTGATTTTTTTTTAAATGATGCTTCCTAAGTCACTTGGAACTGTTGGCCACCTTCTGTGAGTCTGGGCTACCTAATTCCTGCAGGAAGCCAGAGACAGACCAAGAAGAAAAGAATTCTTAATGAAGGGCACATTTCCCCTTGAGTGTACTAGTCTTCCTTTTATCCTAACACCGAAAATTGGGAGCACTCAGAATTATTTGAAAAAATGTAACTTAAAGAAAATACCTTTTAATTTTGAGGAGTGAGGCATTCATTATTCTCAGATATAATTGAGCACATATTGCACATAAACAGCATTTAATTACCTCATATGTGGAAGCTTCACAAAGTCTGTGGAAAGTGGATTTGAAAGATAATGGAATTTTTCCATGGACTTTTGAAGACCCCCTTGTATATGATATACTATGATTTTTCATCATGCTCCTTCCATATAAGCAGGTTATTAGGGACGGTGCTGCCTTAAAGTAACAAAACCCATTGCCATTGAGTCGATTTTGACTCATAGTGCCCCTATACAGGATTCCCTAAGCTGCAATTTACAGGATCAGAAAGCCTCATCTTTCTCGTGTGGAGTTACTTGTAAGCTCAAACTGCAGACCTAATGTTTCACAGTCCAGAGCTTATCATATGGAGCCTCCAAGCTCCCACAATACCAGCAGGGCGCCTGAGAAATAAAGGCCTTGCTTATTCTGAAGTGCTTTGATCTTCCAGATCCTGTCCAACAAGGCTGAGAACACCAGGATGGTGTTGCAGATTGACAATGCTAAGCTGGCTGCCGATGACTTCAGAACCAAGTAAGGGTGTTTTCTCAGGATCAGAGCCACGTAGTAATTGGTAATGGGGTGGGATGATTGCAATGTGGTGAATATGAAATTAGAAGCTATCTGGGATAAGATTGGAAGGATTTTTTTTTTGCCCTGCATTAAATAACTTCTAAAGTCCCCTTAGCTCTCAGACACTGGGTTTTATGTTTTGTTTGAAAGAGTGTAAGAAACCACCATTCCTTCTCTTTTCATTTGTGTTAGACTAAGGTAAGAAGTGAATTTCACACTGGTCTATTAATGTAAGGCCATTCATTCTCAGTCATCAGAAAGAAATGATTCAATCACAAAACAGGAGATAATACCCATTTTATTCAGAGAATCTTTCGATTATTCCAGCTATGACAATCACAGCCCTAAGAGTCCTTTGCATTTTTAGTGGGACCTTGGAGTTTCCAGTGTGATTTCACGTATGCCACTTCTTTATCTTCAGGTCACTCCTATGAATTGTCACCTTGTCTCCATTTTATAGACGAGAAAATCAAGGCTCAGAGCACATTAGGACAATTTTTGCTGGCTTACAGTAAAGAAAAGATAGTGGGTCTTAGTTGATACAATCAGAATGGGGTTCTTAGAACAAATAATATTGGGCTAAAAGTAAACTTATGCACTTCATTGAAACCTTATCTATGGGTGTGAGGGAACAAAGGATCTCAGTATTTCTTTTCCTTTCAAAATGTTTAAAACAGAGTATTTCCCAATATAATGGGTGATATTATATCAGCCAAGCAAAGCTCAGGAAACAAAAACTTTCTTTTTTACCTCTTATTACTTTTGTCTGTGTGGACAGGTACCAGGCGGAACACTCCATGCGACAGCTGGTGGAGGCTGACATCAACAGCCTGCGCAGGATGCTGGACGAGCTGACCCTGTGCAAGTCCGACCTGGAGTCCCAGGCGGAGTCTCTGAAGGAGGAGCTGTTGCACCTCAAGCAGAATCACGAGCAGGTAAGAGAGTTCCGTGAAATGAAAGAGGAGAATCAAACCTGGACTCTTTATACTTACATAGCAATGATTGTAAACCACTTACTATGCCAGGCTTACAGTGAGCAGTAGGAAGATAAAAAGATGCAATAAAATCCTGAAGTGCGAAGAAACATTAGATATTATTGAACCAAGCACCCTCACTATAGAGATGAGGAAAAGAGACAGGAGGTCTGACTTGCCAGAGCTAACAGTGGACTTTAACATCAACTATTTTCTATATTCTAGTGTAATCCTTTCTCCACCACATTGGACTCTATCAAATAGAGTTTATTTATAGACTTCTCTGTTTGTGTTTCTTTCTTTCCTTTATTTCTTCAGGAAGTCAATGCTCTGAAAAGCCAGCTTGGTGAGCGCCTCAATGTGGAGGTGGATGCTGCCCCCAACGTGGACCTGAACCGTGTGCTGAATGAGATGAGGTCTCAGTATGAGGCCCTGGTGGAGAACAACCGCAGGGATGTGGAGGAATGGTTTGCCAAACAGGTGGGCATCTAAGCATGTGGCCACCCAGGACTTGAGGTCCCTACTTGGTCTGTAAGGCAGGATCTGACCCTGTCTTCTCCCCCATGGATATTTCAGACTGAGGAACTGAACAAGC